TTGCAGAAGCTCCTGGCACCCCTGGGGACAGCCACAGGGCGATGCCAGCTTGAAAGGCCGGCTGGGCTCTGCTCAGCGTTTTGTTTTTGCCTGTCGGATTCTCCACCTTCGCTTTTAATTTAAAGCGAAGCCTTGCAGCAAGCAGCGTTTTCCTTGTCAGCGATGGATGAGGAGCCCAGGGGATGAGGGCTCACATCAGCACTTTGCTCGGCCGCCTGTCAGCAATTCCCGRCAATTCCCGGCCATCCCCCGGTCCCGGCGGCTCTGCGGGGCCAGCAGGAGGCTCAGGGTGACATTCCCTGCGCTCCCACGTGTCCCTTCCGCAATGTTTGCCTCATGTGAGGAGGCAGCAAATGGAGGAAGAGCCTCTAATTAGTTCGAAATTGGTGTTTTTTGATGATTCTGCTGTTTCTGGGAGGAAAAAAAAAAGGGAGTGCTTTTCTCTTTGCAGCGAGTCTTGCTCCCCAAAGGGATTTTGTAGAACTGGGGAGTCACAGAAGGGTTTGGGTGGGGAAGAGACCTTAAAGATCATCCAGTGCCACCCCCTGCCATGGGCAGGGACATCTTCCAGGGGGCTCCAAGCCCTCTCCAACCTGGCCTTGGACACTTCCAGGGATGGGGYAACCACAGCTTCTCTGGGCAACCTCTGCCAGGGACTCACCATTGTCACAAGGAAGAATTTCTTCCCAATATCCAATCTAACCCTGCCCTCTGCCAGTAGGAACCATTCCCCCTTGTCCTGTCCCTCCATCCCTTGTCCCCAGTCCCTCTCCAGCTCTCCTGGAGCCCCTTCAGGCCCTGGAAGGGGCTCTGAGCTCTCCCTGGACCCCTTTCCAGGTGAAYACCCCCAGCTCTCCCAGCCTGGCTCCAGCCCTTGGAACTCTGACCTGCCCAGAGCTGACTGGTGGCACCTGAGGGGTGGGACACTGGTGGCACCTGAAGGAGGGACACCCAGGAGTCCAATGCTGCCCCAACTTTGGCCTCTGAAGTCCAACCCTACAACTGCTGCTGGCCGAGGTGTCGCTCTACAGCTCGTTTTTAATCTAATCTCCGAACGTGACATAAATTGCTCATTATTTGTGGCTGCAGCAAAATGATTCCTTTGACACGAAGCCTTTGATTTGGAATTACTACGGCGTCGGGTTTGCTGGAAATTAAGCTGTTCCTATTTCAACTTTGCAGGAGAAAAGCAGATTTGTGTGTAATACGCTGACTTCTTTCTTTTCCTTTCGCTTTGCAGGACACAAAGGAAATTGCTCTGTCACTTGGAATGGCTGTGCACATCCTTTAATGACAAACCAGGACAAAACGATGCTTGGCCCGGAGCGTTTCAGGCTGAGTCCAGAGAATTGTTTGCCCTTGGAGCAGCCAGAGAGCAAAGCTCATGGATGGCGACACCGAGCCATCCATCAGCGCTGGCCGGTGGAAAATACGGCGTGAGCAGGGCACAGGAGGCAAATCTCCTGCTCTTTCTCCCCTCAGAATGCTCAGGAGACACAAAACTGATGGCAGAGCCAGCCAGGAGCAGCACCACGGCCATTTATAGCCCGGAGAGGGAGGACAGGAGTTATTCCCTTTAGCTCCTGTGTTTTAGCACGTTCACCTGCTTCCAGCACCGGAGCTTYGCCCTGTGCTGCTGGGAGGGATGGAGCCCGCGGGGAGGGAACTGCAGAGGCTCCGTGTCACCCCTGGAGGAGGGAGAGCCAGCCAGAATCCTTCAGCTGAGGGCTGGGATCAGCAGGGATGTGAGGGTARCACCCCAGCACCCCTGATCCCACAGCAGCCATCCTTCCCTCCCTCCATCCCCAGGACGGGCAGACCCCGACAAATAGAAACGTCTCCGCATCAAAAGCGAAAACATCAAGCAACGAGGCTGCCAAGCCTCTAATTAGCATAATTAACSCGTGTTCTTCCCTTCCAGCGGCTGTGCCTGTGGAAAGCCTTCCTCGGAGAGGTGATCTCTGTAAGAGTTCCTCCTTTGCACGGTCAGGATGGAGTGTCCGGAGCTGTCCTGCAGCGCTCCCGGCTGCTTTCCTTTGGCTCGTAATGTCCATCTCTCTGGACAGTGGACAGTCCAGCGGCAGTGAGGGTGAGCTGGGCAGGCTCGGGTGCAATTCCCAATCGCTGCTGAGGTGGGTACTGGGGCTGGGGACCCCCCGGTCTCCCCATCACCCCCCTGAACCCCGACATCTTTGCAGAAGCTGAGCGTCAGGGAAATTACAGAATTCCTGAGTTGGAAGGGACAMACAGGAAYCATCAATCCAGCTCCTAGTCCTGCACCAAACCATCTCAAAATCTCCACTATTTGCCTGAGATGCTCTGTGCCCTCCCCCAGTGCCCTCAGAGCAATCAGGGAA